ATTCTTCCCAAACATTATTTTCGTTGCGCTATTTAAGCTTTGCAGGTTGGCTAATGTGATATGGCTTTGGGGAATGTGGGTTTGTGTTGTTGGCATTACTGGTTCCTATGTTTTCGGTATACAAACAAAGTCATTAATTTTGAGCTTATTTCTCATCACAAAAACTTTCTCGGTAAGTACAAATCTGTGAAAATAGATTTACGAGTACTCTTTTTTTATGTATTCTAACCTTTATAACAATCTAACATGATTGTATTTTGATTTATATGTTAACGTTTTTTGTTAAAAACAAGTTTTATTGTTCACATCATGAATTTGAGATATGTGAGGTGAATAGGAACATAATATTTACCGTGTTTCCATTCACCCCACACATTAGAAATTACTTCTATCTAATACCTCCATAGAGTAAGATTTGTTTTTGTCAGTAACTGTTCAATTTACTTTTTTTATTGTAATGAGTGTCTTACCACAGGTTTTCGCAGATATGCCGACATAAGTGTAACGAAAAGATGCTACACACGACAAAACTTACAAGAAGCCCTAAATGAAATAAAAGAAGGTATTAGTTACAGACAGTGTTCCCTTAAGTGTAATATACCTACTACGGTCTTACACAGATATATAAAAAATGTTAATACAAAGCAAAAAGGAGGTCAGACCTCTCTTGATGAAGATGAAGAGTTAGTTCTCGTTGACAGACTAGTTGTTTGTGCTGACCGGGGATACCCAATAGATTCTCTCACCTTACGGTTAATCGTACGATAATATTTGGAGCGCAAGGGCAAAGATATTTCCAAGTTCAAGAACAAAACCCCTGGTCGGGATTGGGTGTATTCGTTTCTTACTCGGCACAAACAATCACTCTCAAACAGAATGTGTCAGAATTCAGACAATGATAATACCAGGCAATCTGGAACACAAACGCCATTCTGTTCGCGTGGAAGGGATTGATGACACTTTTAAGGAACTTTTGAAGACATTAGGACAGTCTGATACTCAGAAACAAATAAAAAAGGAAACAAAAATGAATGTCGAAACGGGAAAAAGTGCCGTGGAGACAAATTTAGAAGAAGAAGAAGAGTTTGAATCTGAAGCAGGACCATCAGGAGTTCAGAACATAGAACTAAATCCCCCAAAAGAAATTTCCAGTCACATTAAAAAGCTAATATGAGAATCTAGTGCTTCAGAAAACTCTCTCCAAGACAGTGACAAGGAGCTAGTGTTGTCATCTGATGAAGAAACGAACACTTGCGTTAACCCTGGAGATTTCTTAGTGATCAAAGTGTATGACAAGACTATACAATTAAAGGTTCATTTACGTTTATTGACGTTTCAATTTCCACTTCGGAAATCGTTCTCAAAATACAAACACTAATGTTTCTATTTTGAGAACGATTTCCGAAGTGGAAATTGAAACGTCAATAAACGTACTTTAACCTTTAATTGAACCTTTAATTTAACTAACAATAGAACAAACAGATATACAAAAATTGAGATAACAATATATCAAACAAAACTATGAGACAGAAATAACACAAACATTGACAAATACAGGCAGTCTAGGCACCGAAGAACATTGAGAAGAAGTTAAAATGAAAATAATTGACGTAGCAAGAAAGATCATGGGTACAAGAGTATGGATATCCAGGTGTAACCAAGAATAGTAAAATGCAATGCGCAAGAACAAAAGGAAGGCCACAGAAAAGGTAAGAGGATGAAGTGTCAGAGGACGCCCAAAATTTGCTAAACGTAAGAATCTGGAGAAGATCTTCACGTTACAGGCAAGGTTGGAGACATAGTTTTTATAACGTCAAGGCTGGATTTAGGCTGTAGCGCCATTGAAGAGAAAGAGAACCGTTCCCTCAGAAACAATGCTTGAAGCGACCGGCAATTCTAAATGTCAGTTACGGACGCGAAATAAATTTTTTTTAATAAAATTTGCATCAACTTAACGGTAAAAATTCGATATATTTTTATTAAAGTGTCCTATCGACAAAAAGTTGAAGGACGAAGTGTTTTAAATAATCTTTGTATATCTTCAGATTTTATCTGTTTGTAAGTAGTCGTAGGATTAAAAACATTTTTTTTTAATATTGTGTAAATGCATGTCTTCTCGCTATTATTTCTAGTCCAGAGTCCAGAGATGTATCTGATCGGGGATAATTGTTGCGTAGGCTGCTTAATTTTTCGTGTTCCACGCCAGAGTAAATAATCTGCTGCTTCTGCAGATTTTCCAGATATGTTTTTATACCTTGGTTTTAATGGTGTATAAGAGTGTTTTTAGTTCTGATGTGGCTTTAGTTCTGATGTGATTATAGTTTCTTTTATTTGTTGCAGTTCTGCATCTTTGCAATTTTTTGCGTGTTCGAAGAGTAATGTTTTCTAATGCCACTTCTGTCATATTGCGATTTTAGAGAAACATTTAGTTTGATTGTTTTGTCCAGTTTTTCTCTAAAAAGTACCAAATTTGGATTTTTATTGAATATATGTGGATTTTCTATTTTCTGATTTTTGCACGGTGATGAATAGTTGGATCCAATGTGGAACTTACAAAAAATGGTGGCATGAGGCTTGTTCAGCATATGAAGGCATCGAACTCTTTGTTTCTGACCATGACTAAACTCTGTCTGGAGCGTACTCTTAACCTACTACCTAAATGGAGTCTTAACCACCATGGAGCTCAAGAGAATAGAAATGACATTTTTTTTACATTTAATATAGGTTATAATAAAACACTTTGATGTTAGTTTGCGAAGCTTGGTTTGCCATAACTCAAATGAATAAAGAATGTTATTGAGAAATTTTGAGTTTCTACACTCAGATGCAAAAAAATCGCAACGGAGAAAATTTTGGTCAAATTCAAAGTATTTCAGTTTTTTTTTATTTTTAGCCCTATTCTGATGATTTTTTTAGCATACTGTGTAAAAATTTATAAATTTTAATTTAGTTTATTGACTTTTTTAATAAAAATTTTTATTTTACTTATTATACGGGGATAATTAAAAGGTGGTTTTTTATCCTAACTTTGAAACATCCTGTGGAATAATTCCGTTAGCGAGTTTTCGTAAAACCTTGTTTTTCGGTTGCAACCATGTTTTTAAGTATTATGTGTTTTTTGTTTCATGTGAAAATATGGATTGGTTCATTTTTAGGAGCGAAATGACTTTGCCACCCACAATCTACGACTTTTCCTATTTGGATTCCCATTATTTTTTGTATTAATTTGTAAGACGACGATGAGGGGCTTTGGTGACTGATATCGAAGGAATGTCATATCGACATCCCAGAAGCACTGTATTTAAATAATGATTAAAAGCAACGACACGATCTTGGTTGTAATGAAAAATGTTGACTCTGTTTTGTCTTTTTTCTCGATGGTGCGTACTCTTATTCCCTTTTTCCTACTGTATGTAGAGAATTTCTCAAAATATGAAGAGCCAGCCAAATAGACTTATGTCTAGAGGAACGGAGTGTGACGAAAATTCAAATCAACCTACATGAGAAAGACAAGCATAGAAAAGTGATACATAATATATTATTCTTATAATAGAGAATCTAATTTTGAAAGAAATTAAAAAGTGTTATGTGTATCGTGAAAATTACATATAATCTAACTTAATTTCTTTAGCCGTCATTGTAGATTACTCCATAATATCGCATTGCCATGATTACTTCTTTGCTTTTCATCATCGAGTTGTTAGATTCTAACTCGATGCTTTTCATATTCAGAGGTTAGAAGCAATGGACCGCAGGAGTGTGACGTCACGACTATTATTACTTTCCAAACAAACGTTGAAATGTCAAATCTCAAGACTTTTTAATTCCTATAAAGTTAACATTTTACTTCCTCTGCTGCTTTTTCTTGTAAGTATAGTGTTTTTTACGATAATACCATCATAATTCAGAGTTCTATTTCTATGAAATATGGTTTAAAAAGTTTAATTGAAGAAATTTTAACCTTACTTTATTGATACTTGCATTTTATTCCTATTAGCATAAAACAATGTGCTTTATTATTTACACAACCTTGTAAAATTGTTGTAGTAACTATTAGAATATTTAAATATTGCAAAAAGCGGAAAGATTCTATAAAATAAATGAAAAAATAACGAAAAATACAAATTATCCACACTAAACAAGGTTTGTTTGGAAAGTGAAACTGACAGATGTCAATCAAATCTACGTCATCACTCCTGTGGTCCATAGTTACTGTCTAAATCTGTCAGAAAAACAAAATATTTTGTATTTTATACTGTCACATTCACTTTTTCATAAACATTTAATCGAAATGTGAAATCTTTAAAGACATCAACACTAAAACAGCAAGAACATGACAACAACTGGAACTGACTTGGAAATGTTATATAGTACCTATCTATAAATGGCCATAATTTTCGAAACAATTAAACACATAAAAGATACCACCAAAACCATATTTGAAACATTTTTTTCCGTAAGTCCTTTATTTTGCATTATTATTTAAATAAATAATCGCATTTCTTATATTCACATTTTTACCAAAAGTCTTAAAAACTTTTAAAATTTCCAAATATAGCTGCTCAATATTAATTAATTTATAGCTAATAATTCTTTTTAAACAGTAAATTAATTCTATTAATTATTATAAGCTGAAGATACGCCACTGGTATCAAGATAGCCTTTCGCCAAGGTACATGTCTTATTCATATACCTTATACGTCATCGACGTTTGAGGATATACCCATTTATATAAAAAAATGTTGAATTATTTTGTTATATTGAATCGATTGAAATGCTTAGTTCATAAATTCAATTTTTAACTTAAATATATAATTCAATATTTGCGTACATATTCAAATTATTACTATGTCAATCGGATTGAGTGCTTCAAAATCAAAACTGTTGAGTGAAAATTTTCATTTCATCCTAGCGATTCACATTCACATGTTCCTTCATTAACCTTGGTATTCTAAAACGTGCTCGGCGATTGTCAACTGTCAAATTAGCGGTTGTCGTTTGATGGTCATCGCTGTCAAATAGGAAAATCGTGTGTGTGTTGTTTTCGTGTAACGATGTGATGATTATTGATCTACTTTTTGTCTAATTTAACCGGTGGAAATAGAAATGAAAAAGCCCCTACTTTCTAACACAAAGTATGAAAAGGTTCCTTACGATGAAGACTTATTTATATGCAGGGTAAGTTGTCAGAATTTTTTTATAATACAAGTGATCTTTGTTGTCGTATTGATTAATTTTCGTTTTCTTAAAATATCTATCGATTGTTGCAATTTATCAATTAATTAATTTATTATTATTTCATGGTAGTATATGCCACAAAGTTGGCTAACAAATAAATCATTGATGACATGGTAGATTATTGTTTGTAACTACATTAAGTAAGTATTAATGGTTTGAATCAATCAAATTTGGATTCTCATTGTTTCTTGTTCTTTGATTATTGGAAGTAATCTATTGATAAATTACACTTTAATTAAGCATATTTTGTATCGTATCGATTTATTTTGTATTTCGAATTTTTGCAAATTTAATATCTTGTCATTGTTTTAGGTTTTGAAATTTCTCTCAAAATAATTACATGTATTTATTTTTTAATTTTTTAGATATATATCAAGATTATTATAAAATATTAAATCTTATAATATTTAATGAACACTGATAACATATAATCTTAACCAGACAAGTAAAGTAAACTGATTTAAGGTGGTATTAAATGGCATTTTAATTTCATTAGGTAGGAAAACTAATTTTCAGGACAATAATGTAATGTCTTATTGGATCTACAGAAAAAGTAAAATATGCTCTTTAAATCATTTATAAACAATTGATATTAATTAATAATAAAATTTTATGGCAAATGTACTTAATTTTATGTTTATATACATTTAATGCTGTCACTGTTTTAATTGGGAACTATCAATTTTTAATAACAAAAAATGAGTATTTATTCTATCTTGCCTAATTGGTATTTTTATAATATACAAAAAATATTTTGTTATTTTGTAATAATTTTGGTAATTTTATATCTTCATTGATAACAAAAATGGACCATTTATTTTAGTTTTTATTTCTAGTATTTCTGCTAGCAGTATCTAAGTTATTGTTTCTAAAAATTGTAATTTCTGTGCAGTTCTTTTGCAAATTTTCTGATAGATCAACTTAAATAATCATTTGTGATAATATCATGTTTCCCTTTTCATTGTATATATACTCCCACTCCTGAGATTCCTAAGGCTTCCACTGAGTTTCTCCAGTGAACTTTATTTCTTGCTAATGCTTTGATTTTAAGTCAAGACTATCCCTTTGTCCAGTGTTGACCTTTCTGAGTTTTCTTAGGTCTGTCTATTTCTATCGGCCTTGAAGATTCTAATCCAGCGCTGTCCTGGCAATGTCATCTGGAGGTGTATGGAGTGTATGGCCCAGCATTCTCTAGAATTCTAGAACAGCTTCCACGACGTAGCAGTATAGGCACTATGATTTAATACCATGAGTTTGTTTTCAATCCGACGTCGGCAGACGTCGCCCGATATCGGATCGGGAGAAATACGGTTCCAATGTAGGTGTCCACTTAGTGACTAATTGTATCAGCCTTCACACTCCAGATCAGGGTGCTATGTAAGAATACTGACCAAATATAATATCTGATTATTCTTTGATTCAATTTTAGGTCTAAGTTGTGGTTATAGAGGAATGGGTTTATTTCCAGAAATATTTTGCAAGCTGTTTTAATTCTGAACTTAAGCTCTTTACTTGGATCCAGTTGCTCTGTAATGTAGCTTCCTAGATATTTAAAGTGATGTAAAGTTTTGATGATCTATTTGTAGGAAAACATTGTCATACTGTTGGTGACTAAATATCATAATTTTTGTGTTAGAGACATTCATTTTTAGACCTTTTTCACTTTCTGTCTTGTTAAAGCAATCTAACAACTCTTGAAGACCCTGTAGACTATTGTATAAGATAGCAGTGTTGTTAGCATTTTTTTTTTATTAATAAATTCCAACTCCGATTTTCACTCAAAAGTGTTCATAGCCTGTTTAAGCAAAAGTTGTATCTGAGTTTATATTGAATATGCGTTGGGATATAATGCATCCTTGTCTGATGCCTCTTTCAATGTAACATTTGCTAGTTAATCTGCCATCAACTTAAAGGACTGTTCTAGTTTCTAGAAAAATCTTAAATGTGTGACTCTATCCTTCACATCTTTTTGTCCTCTGTTTCTTCAGAATTCTGAAGAATTCTACAGGCTGAAGTCTGTAGCCATTCCTTAGATATTTCACCAGTAGTATACACATCATTAAAAATCTTAACTATGTTGCCTGATCCAGTTGCTTTATTAATTTTTGCTGATTTTAGAGCATGAAGATGATGACTTCAGGATATAAAATATAGGTTCTTCCTGATTTACATTGTCCTGTGTGTTTGGCCTATCATCTTATAACAATAAAAACCTCACCTCACATAGGTGATCTACATAAACTTGGACTATATTGCCAAGTGCAAGATTGCCAAGTATATCCCCAACAAGAGAATCATATAAAAAGTCAAGATACTCAGTAACTATTAAAGCAGTGTGGGGTCGTGTATTAATATATATAAATTTTGCGCCGTCCCCAATAATACCCCTGAGTAGTAAAACATGGTCTAGAAGAGTCAGGTACCTATGATGAGCAGTCCCATTATCGATAAAATAAAATAAAAACGTTTATTGCCTTATAAAATATAACATTTCACCTAAGATATTTGAACTTAAGATATAGCCTTTGTGCCGCTTTTGCGCCGTCTTGCGTTTGAAACCGAATCCTCTTTGGGGCACTGATTGTTTCTGTTCTTGAACTTCTGGACATCTTTTTGCGTAGGTACTTAATTTTACGGCATAGTTCCTACTTTCTTGTGACAATTTTGTCGTTCACGACAGTTGAGTTACTTGGGAAGGTTAATTCTACTGTCTGCTTCTTCACCTTGTTGTAAAAACAACATGTTATATTAATTTTAGTGTAATTTTTAGTTCTCACAAATATTGGTTTGGAATTTATGCTACAGACTGTACTTTTGCCTGCAGAATATTTGTGCCATAAATACCTTATAAGAGTTGTTAGGTGATAAAACCGACGCCACCTTGCCGGCACTTTTAGGTAAAGATTCAAGCCAAAATCTCTCGCAGATGTGGTGGGAGTCTCAAACTGTGCGGTACCAGCCGGTACCTAGCGACTAATCCCTCTCTTCGCCGCCAAAATGCAGTGAAATGTGTATTTGTTTTTACTTTCGCGCTCCCTAAAACGCCGATATAATAATGGACAATGTTTTAAAGCGAACTCTTTCGTTAGTATTAGTGTTTTTGTAAATATTTTCTCGTTATTAAATGTGTAGATTGGATTAATTACGCTTTATTTTTCTCTAAGTACAACCCCTATTAAACCAAACACATAAAGAACCAGCGCCGTGAAGTCTGCTTGTATATATCGAAGGAAACTCTTATACAGTCCATGGTCCTAAAATATTTGGAACTGTATACGCACGGGGAAAGGAATTTAATAAGCTTACCCCCCAACAATTGGTGGAAATCAGAGAAAATTCCAACACACCTGTTTCCAGATTTCATTTCATATATAGAAATTGATACATTGATGATTTATATTGTAACTATTTCAATAAATGGTCCAGTCATCAGAGATTTGATACTCTAAAAACCAGACGAACAAGCTGCATTTTACTGTGGATGTCAATTGAAACCCTAAACATATGCAAAAAAAGTTCGCCATTCCTGGCCTTACGGCTAAAACCGCCCTCGTAGGCATTGACAGTCAACGCTCGCATTGACTCACGACCGAGATTCGGTGCCTCGTTATGAGCGGCCACTTAGTGTGAATGAGTATACTCTAAGTTGGATGGCAGTCTGGTGCCAGCCCAGCAGCCGCGGTAAATCCAGCTCCAATAGCGTACATTAAAGTTGCTGCGGTTAAAAAGCTCGTAGTCGAATGTGTGTCCCACAAAATAGTAAATTATTTTATGGATTTAAAAATATTAAACTTAAAAAAATATTGATTTATTTTACATGTATTAGGATTTTAAAAAAGTTTGATGTAAAAGTTTAGGAGACAGGAGGGGGTCTAGCGCATTTGTTTAGAGCTTAGATTGGCGTCTTTTTTAAGAGTTTAGATTGGCGCTTTTTATATGAGCCAGTCCGGCCCTGGGAGTGGCATTTTTCTCGCTGACGACTGGACTAAAAAGTTATCAAAAGTCGATTCATACTGCTTTCGCCCTCGCACATCATAAACATGTTTTGTTTTAACATTCAAACTTTATTTGATACAAACTTGATACATTCTTATCAAAAAGTTTTTAAATACAATATTTATTCAGTCAATCAATATAATCTGCCATTGAATTAATTTTACTGCTAAATACGTTTGAATTTTTTGATACACGTCATTATTATGTTGACGTAAGTGTTTAATCTGGAGCTCGTTATTATTGATATTAACCGCTTCCCACAATATTCTATTGTGATTAAATCGTTGCAGTTCTGTTTGCTCTTAAAATGTTTGGTTTAAAATATGTACGAGGATGGAACAAATGACACTTAGATCGTATTTTGCAGTCTTCTAGGATTCTTCAATTTACGATATACTCGTACAGGAATTCACCAAATTTTTTGCTTCAAGAATCAAGATTCATCTTGTTGATAAAAATTATATTTTTACTTTTAGCAAACTTATATCATCGTGGTAACTAGAATAATAAAAAAATTGTAACGAATTAGCTAGATAGTTATAGTTAGTTATAGATATAGATAATTATAGATAGTTATAGATAGTTATAGTTAGTTACTAGTTATTTTGCCAGAAACCATGCAACGGGGGTTCAATCAATTACCATCTACAGTCACTCCCTATTTAAGGTTAGGACGAAAGCAAAATGATATTCTAGTCTGTTATACAACTGTCATAACAAAGAAGTCACTTCTCATGACTGGCTATTTCTATATACAAATTTAGATTCACTTTCCGCTAAGTTTGACGAATGTGTATTGCCAAATCCTGGCTTGAACCCTCAATTCCTGACTCCTCTGTTAATATAAATGTATACACAATATATCATAAAGACAGAGAAAATCGTGTGGGCAGCGTTGTATGCATTTATTTATCTAATATTATTACCACAACTTTCAAAATTAT